AAAGTATCAAATTGAATTTTTGTTCAATAAAAATCCTTCAAATGTGACTGTAGCTTTCCCCCCAAAAACTTTGTCTTCAAAATAAGAGTGCGTCTTATATTCCGAAAAATACGGTAAGTTCGCCTTGTCTGAAAAGTTGTGGTTCACCAAACGTTTCAGGCTGAAAACAACCCCTATCATCATTTCTATTGACATAAGATTCAGAAACAAATGACACTGTATCAAGAGTGTCCTGTTGGAGTAGGTACAGGTTAATCAGATCTATGAGCAACAGGTCTTATAGCAGATTGAAGGTTCGGATAAGAATTTTCCTTTATATTTCTAATGTTGTAGCCTTGCACGTTATATGAGCAAAAATTTATATATAGCAGTCATCTCCATGGTTTCAAGGCTCATGCCAGACCATTGGAATTCCAAATGGCAAAGAATTTTTGATTTTTTCTTACCTTTAGTCAACTCTGACACAAACAGTGCAAACTTTGTGTGGAGCCCATGATTTGTCTTGATACCCAAGTTTTATTCCAAAATATGCATAATATGCTTTTTTGATGAATTCTGTGATGTTTTGCCTTTGTTTCTTTACAATAAATTTACCACAAATATAAAAGAATGTGTTTGGGTCATTTACACAACCTCTTGTTGCCATAGTGATGAATAAATAATATTGAAAAGAAAAAATAATAATGTCAAAGTGCATGCACAAACAAATACTATCAAGATATGACACATCATGTGGCCTGTCAACTGTTTATATACTAGCGGTGTGTTTCTCGTGGGTTCTAGAATGATCGATAAGACTCTCGCATCCCGATTAGTCTAGAGAAATCTATAGCCAATGGCTGTCAACATTTTAGCATAACAAAATGTGACCCAATTTTAATGAAAATGATTCACTTATGTAAGAGTACATGCACCATTTTGTGAAAAATCTGAACATGGAGAAAAATTGATATCATTTTCAGATTCAGCATACAGGAATTACTGAAAAACATGTAAAAATTTCAAAACAATAAAACCATCACAGGCCTGTGTAATGTATGAGTCACATAAAAGTATAACAAAAAATACTGTCAATATTACAATTAATCTTGTTAATTAATTTTTCACATTTTATAAAGAAAGTGAATGATTTTAACCAAACTTCTTTTGAACAGCTCTTTACACTGAGTTTTGTAACAAGCATAAACATAAAAATTGCTCAACGTAACGCAGTATGTAAACAAGTCGGTAATATGATGGTTATTATGATTACTTACATAAAAACTTAATTAATGAAATATATTTTGAATCTTACTCAAAGCTGCAAGAGTTTGTAGTTGTCCAATTTTACTCCTCTGCATAAGGATGGAGTATTAAAGCTCTTCTCTGGATTGCTGAAAGCAATGAACTGCAAGTAGACAGTGCCACCCTACATAATATTTTCAACTAACTCACAGGTAGTACTGCATTAAATTCAGAGTAGTTGGTCCCCAGACAGGTGGCAGAAAACAAAGCGACTGCATAGTAAGACCATCATCTTGATGCAAGTGCCAGGCCATGCAGGTGTAAAGCTAAATGAGGACACTGACAAGCTTGGAAGAGAACCCCCTTCATAAAATCCAGAACAACTCTATTGGTATGCTATCATTCACACCAATAAGGTGAAAGCAGCAACCATGAAAAGTCTTCATTGAGGGAAGAGAGACTGCAGGGAAATAATGTATCATATGGAGTAGCTAGTAAAAGCAAAAAATGAAAAATCAATAGGACAGTATATAGCCAAATGCAAGGCACTGGTAACATCAGTAAAGGAATTCTTCTACTACCTGCACGGCAGCTGATCTGTTGAGAAAAGGTGGTGCAACCCCCCCAGATTACCACATAGTATCAACTCAACTTACATGTAAGTAACTTACTTTCATCAGCAGTTATCCAATCTTTTTTTTTTTAATGGATGGCCCAGAAATAGCCCAAAATCGATAAAAACGGAGAGTAACATAGGTATAATTTATTAGAAAAAAATCATTTGTTAGTCTTCATAGAACTATATACTAGCAAGTGTTATATTTTCTGAGCAACCAAAAATTTTAGCCATTCTTACCATACACAATAGTACATACGTTATCTGTTAGGCCTGCTAACATTTTCTTCAAATCAGGATGATAGTCCTTCATAATTTCCAAGACAACAGAAACAGCATTTTTTGACTGTTGGTGACTAAGATCAGTTCTCCTTCTCACTTCTTCCACCAATTTTACTAACAGTTCTGGACCACAAATATTCTTTTCAGGCAAAGGTTCTTCGTGTTCACCAGTCTGTGTATCTGCAGTGTGAACAATAACTCTGGCTGTGTTACTAGCTACTAGAAAAATAAGAAAAGAATTTTGAGTTATTTTTCCATTTGAAATACAAAAGCTCAAAACATTAAACAGCTCCTTTGTTATAAAGAAAAAGAAATAATATGCAAAATTTAACTTCCATTGCTTGTTAAATGGCTCTTTGTAACAGTCCTAAAAGAAACATTTTCTAGCAACACAATTAGTTTTCAAAAGGAAAGGAATTATCTTTTCTCTTAGATAGCTGTTGAAATCAAAGTTGAAACTCATTAAAATACAACACAAATGTTTTTGAAGCAATTTCAGCATAATTATGCTTACACTTCCATAAAATTCCTAACAAAGAGAATATTTTATTTAATGATCTCACTTTCTAAATGCAGATTTAAAAATAAAAGAAATGAAGAAATATTGTTACTTTTTCCCGACATAGTAATTGATTTTAGCTACCAGTTTCTTCACCGTATTCACTAAATGTGTCAGCTTAACGTATTCTTTATATAACCATGAGCTTTCTCTCAATAACTCTCCATTACAAGGTACAAAAACCATAAACTTTTCACTAAACAATACAAAAACCACGAACTTTCAATAATTTTCCATTACATGACATACATATCTGAACTTTACTTCAATAACTTTCTATTAAACAATACAAAAAACAAAGTTTTTCTCCAATAACTTTTCACTAAACAATACAAAAACCACGAACTTTCAATAATTTTCCATTACATGACATACAAATCTGAACTTTACTTCAATAATTAAACAATACAAAAAACAAAGTTTTTCTCAATAACTTTTCACTAAACAACACAAAAACCACGAACTTTCCATAGAATTTCTTTCAATTACTGTGATATGATACAAACAAACATTATTTTTTTCCAGGATTCTCAGAAACTTTAAAACAGCAGAAATCTTGTTATAAAACAAAGCACTTCATCACAGACCAATTTTTATTATTTTTACCATTAATCACAACCAACCTAATGTATTAGCAAGTTGACAAATAATGATCTGTAAGCATTTTTCTTGTAAAATACGATTTTACTTCACGTTTACTGACTAATAACATTATACAATTTGGCATAAGTATGTGTGCAAATATTTTTAAAAAGTACAAAATTCTGTACAAGATAAATTATATACAAAAACTGAAGTTATTGATTGAGATGTGATAGTAAAGAAATTTATAATAAATTGTATTAGTTTTTATGTGGAAAAAAGTTTCAATGAGGTAATTCTGATACCTTGAAATTATCTGATAAATCGTAATATGTTAATTACAAATATATAAATGCATTTTAAGTGAACATACCATCTTGAAATGTTGTTTGATGAACAGGTTCGGCATCAGGTAATTCAGATACCTTGTTTCCCAAATGACTTAGAAGTGATGATCGCAAATCTACTAACATCCTGGTGAATTAAACAACATTTATATTATACGACAAGCACTATTAAATTATTTACCATACATATATTTCAATAACATCAAATGAAATTTAGTGTCAACCTAATACTCATCTCTAAAGAAAACCCATAATTATGCTTTCAGAACTAGACCTTAAAAAATAGCTTCCTCAGAAAAGAATCTTTGAATCATTTGAAACAACTCCACCAGCACGGTAATTTAGAAAAGAAGTGTAATTTATATGGAGAATAGAGGGGACATTTATTGGAGACTGTCCCCCCTTAAATTTCAGCAGAGATGGTATACTTTTCATTACAGACTAACATACTAGTCACATTAGAAATGAACCAGTGTAGAAACCAATGTGAAATATTTAAACAAGAAAAGCTACAGGGTAAGTTCTTGTAGAGCATATAGCAACCAACTTTTTAAATCCAAAGTTATAACCCTACTTTAGAATTACCTCATCAGAACTGTGTTTTAAACTACTCCATCAGAAGTGTGCCTTATAAAGCTCATTATTGTCCACATCACCATAGTTGAGTCCAGTTTCCTTAGATAGGCGATATGCATGCATCAAAAACTAAACTAACGCTGTAAAACAAATCTTGTTAATTTGTTTCAGAAAGTTAGTGTTAGATGTCACCGAACTTTGATTTGTCTTAACCTTTCATGTTCTGCAAGTTAAATTTAATGGCATGTGCAGTGTTGACACATGATAGTACTCATGATCTCTTGGGCTTAACAAACAAAGAACTACGTATTACAGGTTTCTACTTTTAGTTGAGAGAAAAATGTAGCATTATTCTAATTCATAAAAGCAATTTTTTTTGTTCCTTCTAGAAGTCTGAGTATATTCCCCTTAATTGGGGGGCAAGGTTTGTAGGTAACATGTATACTCTCTATGTCCTACACTCAAAATTTATATGGATTCAAAACTCAATAATGGCAGAAATTTAACAAATAAACTTAATAAATATTTTATAAATATAGCACACAAAAATTATGAAACAAACTGATGAATAGTCATGTTAATCATTTAATATAAAAACAAACAATAATTCCAAGTATTTATTTCGTATAGGTAATGAGGAAATGAAAACTATAATTATGACTGTAAAAAATCAGAAGTCTAGCCATCCAGGTGCCTCGTGCCTGGTTTGTTGTGGTTAAAGCATTATTAGTATGGTAATAGAAAAAAAACCCTTCTATGGATGATAGGGGGTTAAGGGCATGGTTTCAAAATCACTGAAGTAATTGACTGAAAAAATAAATTTTTAATGCCTCCCATTTTCCAACATTTGATGCTTAGCTATGTAAAAATGACCTAAAAAAACAATAGCATGAAATTATAACTCGGCAACTGAAAACATTTCTTATGATTCTTCAAATTAACAATGTCTACTTCTTATATTACAATTTTAATTTGATATCGGCCAGTTATCTCTTATTACTTTTGACATAAATCATGGAATTACAGTGAGAATAGTAAAAGTCTATAAATCACATTATCATTGGTTTATATATGTAATTCATCGACTACAATAGGAACTTTTCCAGTAAAACTGAAAAAAGGCTGTAGTAATTCTAATATACAAAAAATGTAATAGGAATAATTGTGTACATTATAGACCAGTTAAATTAGTATCAGTGTTTCCTAAAATATCAGAAAAAATAGTGAAAAACAGGTTGACTAGATTTCAAGATAAACAATTTTTTCTCTAAAAAATCAATATGGATTTAGAGAAGTACTGAGGAGGAAACTTTAAATTTCACACAAATATAAATCTTTATATCACTATAAAAGAAATCCTTATTGGATTTAGAGAAGTCATTTGATACAGTATCATATCAAATATTAATGTTAAATGAATGTTATAGCATATTTTGTCTTGCAAATTGATAAAAATTTAAGCTGGAAAAATTTCTAAAATTTATTTTGATATCAATCTATTTTTTGAAAATTTTAGAGTCTAGGCATTAGGAATTCTTTATTTCTCATTGATATAGTCAGTATTTCAATACGGAATTTTGATACTGGGAGGAATATATGCAACCACACTAAACAGAATAATATTAATAAAATATAACACCATTTGATGGCACAAAAATTAAAATTTATAATGTGTATATTTTACTAAAACAATTTCCTGTGAAATATTAATAAATATTGAACATTATTATTTATAAAAAGTAAAAGTTATTATTTATAAATAAAAAGTTTTGATCCTTATAGAATATATGGATTAAAGTATAAAAATCCAATAATTAAAAAAATTTAGATTATACAAGTTGTATTTATAACTTGTATACTAAAAATTGTTAGGGTTTTGGTGCCCATGAGCAGATTCTTTTTGGAAGGATAAGGTTGGAGATGAAATTCTGAACATTAGAGCAAGCAAGTATAATTTATGGAAGTCAAGGTCCAAGATAGTAATAAAGTTAAATTTTTATCTGTTTTAAAGCTATTAACTTGTGTGATAACTTACCAGGTAATGTGGTGTGTGTGCCAACAGAAAATATTCTAAGTTTAATTTTGATATTGTCATGATCACAAGGGGTTTTATATAGGTTGAGGTGGTTTCTTTTTGGGTGGCTTTGATGAGTCACATGGCTTTCTGTCAACTAGTGTTTTATTATGTTCTTGTGAAACAAGTAGACCTCATAAATGAAATTGAAAATCACCATGACTTTGGAAACATAACCAGATGATGTCATGATGTCAGCATACATGACAATAACACTTACCAAAAGGTAGATTAATTTAATGGATACTACTTCTGATAAGTGTTAGTGGCTTATTTAGGATGGATTAAATTAGAAACTTTAAAACATGTTGTGCGACAGATAAAGATTGTTGTAGGGCGGTATCCATCCTCAAGGCTGTGGCTGGCCAATCCCCTCCACAATCTATTCTTGACATTAAAAACAGTTGTATATAAATTAATTCCTTAAAACCTTTCCATGTAAGTCAACATTTTACCTTAAAGATCCTCGCTGAGGTTCCCTGCTTGAAGAACCAGATTGATGAATTGCCGATATTGCTCTTTCCAGCCATGACAGGAACTCAGTTGTTTGGACCTAATATTAACCCAAAATAATCAATATGAATTCCTGTCAAATACTTTATCCACCATTTTTAAAGTAATTACTGAAATATTTCACTGTATCTTACTAGATATAAAATAGCAAGGAAATTATTTTGTGTATCCACATGCTTTTTCTAACTACCTATAGTCTGTGAATGTAACAAGACAACAGGATGTTTTATTCAATAACAATAAGTATCTATCCACAACAGCAAATACAATGCGTTTGACTGCATAAATCAGATAATAACCAAACTTTAGCTTTTTCAATAGTCATTGTATTTTATCTCTTAAAAATTGAGATTGGTAGTTTATACGTAAAGAAATTATTTTAAAAAATTTAAAGTGTGTGTAAAAAAAAAAGGTTAAATCATTAATTCTACATTCCAATCACATTTTGACCTACAGGTATAAAATACCTGAAGTTTAACAATAAGAGTATAGGATTCTTAGATGTAACTCACATTTTGTAAAGGATGGATACCATTAGGGACCTTAAATGGCAGCACAAGACAATTGACAGAAAAGTGGCAACAACTGTAGGTAATCTTAAATATGTTTATCGTAGTAAAAGCCATATTCTACACATCATGCTGACATAATACTTTGCTTTAACATAGCAGGTCATGGGAATACAACACTGGATTAGTCCTCTATTTATTAAATTCTACTCTGTGTTTGGCCTCCTGAAACTCTGAATGTGCAAGATATTTGTGGTGTTGGTGAGGCACAGTAGAAAATAAGTGAAGTCATATACTCAGGAAAATCTCTCAGAAAGTTATGTACTGTTTCATCATAAACTTAATAATTATCTGCTATGAATCAAATTCAAGTAATGAAATGTGGCGTCAGGGATCTGATTCCGTAAATTTTATGACACAGCACCGGTTGATCACCAATATGCAGTTGGTATATTCAGTGTTGTCCAAGATCAAAAACATATGGATTCTGTGTTTGTGTTGCACCACTTTTAAAGAACAAATACTTTCACCAGTACTAAGAAACATGCATTCCAACACCACACAAACACAAATAACACAATTTTGAGGCAGTGTTTCAGGACTGAGATTCTGCTGATGACTGTGATGTACACGACTAAAGGATGGCACTGTAGATTTGTTGAATCACTGGGTAAACTATATTAATTAACGTTAGTTTCAAATAAACATCATGTAACACACACACAGGCAACACATACTCAGAAGCAGATTAAGGGGGTATTGGGACTTTAGCCCCAGACTTGAACTCAAAAAAGACAAATTATTAAGTTTGAGTTTTTTTTTAACCTAAGTCTTTAATCATGATCATAATAGGCTCTGTAGAAAACTTTAGCCCCACTCCCATCTGATCCTTAGCCCACCCATGCACACACTGTTATTTTGCTTTCACATTCTATGGTATAGTCAGCCTTCACTTATCATCATATGAACCGATATTACAGAATCTATTTTAACAAATATATAACTCTTCTTTACCTATTTAAAACATCAATTAACAAAGAAAATGTGTTCTTAGTAGCCACAGAATTACTACTGGGTTCAATTTTTAAAATATTTTTTTTGGTTATGCAACAACTTCCTTACGGGTAGATAGATATCTGTTGGTTAAGGGGTCCCTAATACCATACAAGTCACACACAACAATACAATCAGTATTACAGCCCATTAATTTCTGCTAGGGTTACTTACATGTATTTGGCATACCAAAATGAATCATTTCATCCACTTGTTTACAGTGTTACAATAAGGAAAAACATAAAATTACTCGTATAATACAACATATATGAACAAGTAAGTGGCCATCCACCATCATGGATGTTATGAAATGGTAAGGATATAACACATCATATGTTATATAAGATACATCTAACACAATATTTGTGCAAATTTTTATTCAATCCTATTGGCCAAAATTACGCTTTTACTGACATTTATCCCCCCCATCTCTTGTACTATGTAGCAAAGTAAATACATCCACTTAATAACTTAAACGTATATACATGTAAAAGTCTGGTGATTTCCTAGAATATATTACAATATAGGTTTTAAATGAAATTAGCATAGAGGAACTATTGTTTGAAAAAGGAAAAACAGAAACAAAATTAAGAAAATAAAAAGGAGAAAATGCTTATATTATTTTGTAATTCTGGTGAAAAAAAAATCATTGAAATACATTTTTTTCAAGGGTTTTGCTCAACCAAGTGTTTACTCGTGTAGTAATTCATTGTTCTCCAATTACTGCCCTTACAAATGACAGCATAGCAGTGGAACAAATCTTACTGGGTTTTTTTTTTCATCTTACCTCAAATCAAATTTTTCCTTATTAAAACATCTATTTCGCATTAGCCATTGTTCATGGTATAAGTTTTTATACTTTTGTTTTCTCAAATTTCTATTTGATTACATCGCTTTTAACATTTAATGCATTTAGTTATTAAGCTTGATTAATTGTAGTGGAATTCTATGGTATCAGTATAGTAATTTATGATTTTTTGGTTATTTCAAATGTATATATAAAACCTAAAAAAATTATTCGTTTCACATCCTCCATGTGCAAGATTTTATAAGGCTTAGCAGCCTACGACAAGCAGGAAAGGAGTACAAATGTCATAACTAGAAGAGATAACTGTTTGATTTACTTCTTTATTTACTGTTCTATGTTTTAAGAAACTGACGGAGGTAATGAATGGTGAAAAATGGATGTTGATTAAATATTTACAGGTGTCAGCAATTGTAAGAAAGTGTATCAGTCACTAACTATTGTTTATTACCAATAAGCCTAAACATAAAAACACAGTCTGGATCATAATTTAACATAGCAGTACCTCTTTATGAAATTTCCAATTAACCCATTGACTGTGGCTGCTCTAAGCATGCACAGAATTTTTGCAAGCTGTACACCATTTATGGCACACTCTCATTCAATGGGCCGGAGGCAGAGTGTATGGTACATCAGCAGTCAATGGATTAAAGATTGTTGTCCTTTAAAATATTGTTCAAAATATAATAAAACATGGTAGAAACATTAGTGACACAAGTGACTAAAAAATTTTAAACCCAGCTCATTTTACTCGTATACTTATCAAGCTTTTTCATAAAATCACTTAAATTTACTGCCTCTACAACATCTGAAGGCAACCCATTCCAAAAGCCAATCACCATAAAACATGGTAGAAACATTAGTGACACAAGTGAATGACTTGAAGTAATAAATGTAATCATGTATATACAAATCATATTTAAACAAACATTCCAACACATTTATTAATTTTGTACCTCTCATGACAACTTCAGATTACTAGATTTGACTTAAAAAGTTCATTACACATTAGAATTTACAACCTCATTACTGTGTCATTTAAGACCAAGTGGCTAATCCAAATGAGAATCAAAAACAATGAATTTCTTCTAAAATCATGCAATCCACCTAAAACTATTACATCACATAAATGTATAAATAGAGGATTTCTGTTATTAAATAAAAAAACATGCTGAGCATAAGAGAATAATACTAGTACATGCAAAATGAATTCTGAAGTTAAAGAAGACTAATGTGAATTAGGAAAGGAAGAATGAAAAACTCTCAGCTCATGAAAGAGTATTCATGCTTATGTAACTGAAAAATGTGTAATATGAATAGCAGAGATCATTATAATTCAAAGGAACCTCATTACATAGAAAGAAATGTGATTGTAGTGCTAAAAACATTTTCCACTCATGTTTTTACTTATTCAGAAGACTAAGTACATAAACTTCTTTTTTTTAAGCCACAAATCTACTAAGTTTATCAAAGTGATTACATTATTTAATAACTATTTTCAAAGTCTAATTTTTCAGCCTCTGATGTACAGCTCTGTAGTGGTAAATTACCATACAAAGGGATGCTTGAAACTACAAGGGAACATCATAATACATTTCCCATAAAGTATCAAATTAATATAGTCCTTAGCCTAGTCTTGCATGCCTGTTCCTTTAGAGGTAGGGAGGAATTTTCCTTAATTAAATCCTATTTTTGTTAAAGCAGCCAACTTATAAAAGGTTGAGAAACTTCTACAGAGTAAATTTCTTGGCCATAAAAAAGACTGGTTTGAAATCAGAAGTTTAACAAAGTTGAAGCTTATTTTAACTGCATTTCTTATGTCTCTTGGCACTGGTTATATTCTTAATGACTTGTGTTAAATACCCAGATGACCTTAAGAGCTATGGAATTGACCAAAAGATCTATCTGCAATAGCTTTCTGTATACAATGTGCTTAGTAGAGATGCTACTATAGTCTATACTTTAGTCTTCTTTTTGGAAACCTAAACAGCCAGTAAAGAAACATCAGTTAAACTTAAAGTTAAATACTATTTTCCGTCTCATTGAAATATAATGTTACATTAATCACTGATCTATAGTAAAGTTTATTTTCACTTTCTTCTGTTCTATTTTTATCCATTTACTTCACTTTAAACTTCAAACTCAAAGCCATCAACACAGTAACAAAAATAGATCGTTTACCCTTGACATTCAGTATGTATTTAACTTAATCTTTTAACTAATGCAATAGTGCTTTTTTCTTCTTTTTTTTCAAATTCACGTACTGACTTAGTATCCTCTCTTTTTTCCACCTGCAACAAATCACACCTTAAAATTAAAATTCTGCATGATTATCATATTAACAGGTCCACAAACCTCTTGTTAATACGAAAACCAGATAATTGTGCCTTATTTTTAATACGGTCATTACTAGCTAATATTACTTAGTATAATCACTATACATCTCTTAGTGAATTAAAAATAAGTCTCACCAAAATTAATAACTTATTAGTTACCTTCTTTTCCGTAACGTAAGCTGTTGGCACAAACCCTGAAATTCCATTTCGATTTACAACACGTATCCAGTTTGAATCCTGCTCTGTTACCGAAGTATCTACAACCCTAAAATGTTCACCTTCTTTGAAACTCAAAATTCTACTGTCATTGCTCTTTAATGAATATAAAGCTTCGTATAATACCGTATCAAACTCACAGTCCAAATCATGTGCCATTGCGGGTGACACATTAGCCTGCCATCTAGCATTCTTTAGAACAGTTAGTATTATACGTCATTAATAATGAGATTTGTAAATACTGATGTTTGTTCGTTGTTAAGCGCAAAGTTACTTATGAGATAACTGTGCTCTACTTACCGCGGCTGTCAAAACTTCATTTTTAGAGTTGTAAGCCTTGAAACTTACCGTGAGCCATTAGGGACAAAATTTCTGATGGGTAAAATCAAAAGAAGAAGAGCGAAAGGCAGACAGAGACTCACTGGCACTATGATATTATAAGAAGGATTGGAGATGAGAAACTTGAATTTGGTTAGGCAGAAAACGAAGTTGTTGGCACTCAGAACTGGGCAGATTTTTTGTTTGTTTAGCGCAAAGCTACATAATGGGTTATCTGCCTCTGTCCACCATGAGAAATCGAATATTGGACTTAAGTGCTGTAAGTCTGAGAACTTACCGTTGACCCACTGAAGGACGAACTGGGGAAGACACCATGGCTGATTGAATACAACAGTTAATAATTTATGAACGTAATTAAAACATATTAATGATGAAAAATGATATTAATAATATATATGTTATTTAGTGCTCAGAGCTTTAATCTTTCTTATGTATAAAGATATTGATAGGGTCATAGTTAGTAAATCAGTAAAGTTTGCTGGTGAGAAATCTTGGACATTTCTAGCAATATCGGAGATGTTAAGGTACTACTGACGAATGAAGTGTATCAGTTGCTAAGTAAGACAAATATCTGGCAAATAGCATTTAATTACAACAAATGCAAGATAATGTACTTGTGTTATAATTTGGTTTAGACGTTTGATATAGATGGGAACTCACTCAATAGCGTGACTGAAAAAAATGATCTTGGCATCATGGAGGATGATACATTCAAGCTATCAAGACAGTGTTCTGTTGGTAGTATTAATAGTAATTTTAGAGTGTATTTATAGACTCATCGATTACAAGTCCAAAGAGATAATTATATTTTTATACAAATCACTTTAAGAGTTCTCGGTGTAATAAACAAATTAAATATCAGCAGAAACATGCGTGGCTTCTGTTAAACAAGTTAAAAAATAAACACCTGAAACCTGTTTTAGGAATCTCAACCACTGTCTTAAATATGGCAATAAATATTCAAACTTCTAAAACAAGAAAACAGCGATTGATTATCAGCTGGTCAACAAGCAGTGAAGATCAAGAGCGATTCCATTCTCAGCTATTACCGAATTCGCCGACAAGAATAATTCAGCTCACTAATAAAAAATAATGTTGTTATTTCTGTAAGAGAGTCAAGTGAGTGGGACTTGGCCTTAATTTAGAACACGCCAGCCACATAGAGAAAGTGAAAGTTATTAACTCACTTGAGCATATCTCTGTGTCTAACAGGGGAAACTATGAAACATAACCTAATTTTAAAATTTACTTTTTTAACCAAATGGATTGAAAATACACAGTGCGTCCCCGTGTCGCAATAATACAAGTTATTTATTTTATTAGTTTTTTAATTTTTTTGCAACATCTTGAACTTGCAACTTAATATGTGGCTTGGTAGTTCAAGTTGTTCAAATCTTATTGTAGAGACGTTATCTACACAAAACTCGTCGTCAACAGTCCTTTAAATAATTGAACTAATAAAAGTGCTTGAATTTTGGCTTGTGATTGGATCCTGGGAAGTGTTAATAATATACTGTTATGTCTCTGGTCGTTTGTTAAATTTTTATAGAAATTCTTTCCGAGAAACTTAAGCGATACAAGTCTTTTCTTAAATAAAACTAGTTTATTCTTTCTCAATTCAACTCTGCAATGCACTTAATTTCCACAGTCACTTTGACTTAAACACAAGCTATAATTCAGGACGAACGATTCACGCACTTTACTTACTACTGCGCTTGACTCAATTGACCGTCTTTATCTGTCTGCAATTATCTACATCTCTATGCCGCCACTTCTCGCCGGTCTTATATATACAAAATAGAGGGCGTATCTAGCAAACGATAGGACGTTCGACAGGTTCCTCGATCTTTCTAGATACTCATTACGTGTTATCAGCGTCATGTGACCTCCGCTGTCGTAACAATACCTTACAAAATTATGCTCGTTCGTTGGTTGTGTTCAGGTGTCCCTTCTCAACTTGACAAATTCATCACCCACGGGATGAGAAACTTTGAAAAGAAAGAGGATGGTGAGTGTAGCA